AACGGCATTCTGCTGATGTGTATACTCCCAATGAGAGAGTGAACATGAAAAGTTTGTAATGTGTGTACAGCCGAATCTGAACAGGGAGAAGAAAAGAGTTGGTTGGTGATTTCTATAAGGAGAATAAGCAATTTATTTGATGAAAGAGATCATTTCAGATTAACGGAGAAACTTTTTTTGTCTTGGTGGGGCTGTCATAAAGAGATACATTTAGATTGCAATCAAAGTTATTCCTATAACCAATAGAAAACAAAAAAGGAAGTTTGTGTATGTAGTAATGGAGGGACAACTTTTTGCCTAGAACTCTGTCCTTTATGTGTCACTAAACAGGGCGTGGAGAAGTACGTAGAATTACTTAAAAACTTTCATTGAAGCAGATTTTAACTGCATCATAGTTTTAAATACAACAGATAATAAAAATGTCTTTTCATTTCAGTCTTCAGTCAGTAGATTTTGAAGCAGTGGCTGTCACTGTCAAAGAACTAGTCAACTATGCACTCACCATAAATTCAAACAATCATTTCTGGTTAATCACTCAGGCAGATATTTATTTTGGTAAGTAAAGTTAAAACTTCCTGTCCACTTTTATACATACATATGTTTGTGTGTGTGTGTGCGCACACATCTGGCCATCTGACTGTTGTGACTCTGGTAGCCTAACAATAGCTAAAAACAAAAGCAACCACAAAATAAAATATATAATCAGCAGCCAAAGTAAAAAAGAAAAACAATCAGGTAGGAGTTAAAACAAGGATTTCCCAGACTCTAACTGGCAACCCAACTCCCATGTCTGGGAAACCAGCCACATTTTCAGCCCCTTCTGAAGGGCTGTCAGAATTGGGCCAGTCTCTGAGGTATGGTGTGGGAGGAGTCACTGAATGGGTATTGTGGTTCCACCACAAAACCGCGCTCGACTAAACCGTGCCCGACTAAACTGCGTCGCTGACGTCATCAACAGGGCGACAACAGCGCGGAGACAGAAGCACGCTGTAAACCTAAACCTAAAATTAACCCCTAAACCTAAACCTAACCCCCCTAAACCTAACCCTTAACCTAACCCTAAACCTAACCCTTAACCTAACCTTTAACCTAACCCTAACCCTTAACCTAACCCTAAAGCTAACCCTTAACCTAACCCTAAAGCTAACCCTAAACCTAACCCTTACCTTAAGTTGAATCGGCTTGCTTTCAAAGCGCTATTTAAAGCGCCCTTCTTTCTCCGCACTGGCTGTTGTCCCCCTGTTGATGATGTCAGCAACGTGGTTTAATCGGGCGCGGCTTAGTCGAGCGCAGTTTTGACGGGTCACGGGTATTGTTACGGCCCAATTGCCTGGACACTGAGATAAATCTGAGGACACTCCCTCTGTGTCTCCTGGTGACTCCCCAGATTAACCTCAGTCTTCGGCCTCACAGGAGCTATTCAGTGATTCTCCAGGAATTTTATTTTATTTTTTAGTTCTTTTGAATTTTCAGATTTTTGATTAGGTTTTTAGCTGCTTTTTCCTCTCGGCTCCCCTATCTCGGTATTTCGCACCCTTTTTTGCCTGCCCACGCACAAGCTGTGCTCATCGGCCAATCTAATCTCTGGGAGAGAGGATGTTCCAAAGGGCAGGTGCCACAATATTTTGGTGCAAGGACGGTGTCACTTTGAGGCCAGGACTGAAAACTTTATTTCTTTTTCTCTTTTGTCAGGATATTTTGTCTTAATTTGTCCATCTTCTTCAAACATTATTGGTAGCGAGGACTGCGTACGATTCGAACTAACTTTGAAAAACACCTACCTAATTCACCACAAATGTTAAGCTGTTATGTGATGCATCTTGGAGTTAGCATGATGAGCCATATCATTATGCATGAATCGGGTCGTTGTGGATTGTTTAACGAATCTCGATGTTAAAAGTCTTTAACTTCGTGTTACATGTGAATATGGCCACTAGATTAACTGATTAATTTTGTTTCCTTCTCCATCTCCAATGTAGCAACCAATCAATATTCTGCTGCACTTCACTACTATCTTCAGGCGGGAGCAGTGTGCTCAGATTTCTTCACTAAGATGGTGCCCCCTGATGTATACACTGATCAGGTGAGTGATGAGGTTATGTAGTGGTATGGTATACACACACAGGTCTCTGATGATCCGGGCTGCTCTATAATACAAGCTTAGTATTAAAGTGGACCCATTGATTAAAGTTCAGCATTCTAAACATGGGCAGTTTGAACTCATTTTATCGGACATTTTTATCATCTGTTGGAGAGGTGTTAAACTTAAGGCCTGTGGGCTGGCCTGCAGGGCTGCCCTGGAAATAGTGAAGGACCGCCCGCGGTGCCTCTGCCAGTGAAAATGGAGCTCACACGCAGAGCACCCTGACATGAGTGATGTCGAGCTAGCCATGCCGTTTCTCCCCCCCCCCCCCCCGAGATCAAACAAAACTCTGATGCGGCCCTCAATGAAATCGAGATCGACACCCCTACTGATCTCCTGCAATGAACTTAGAATAAAGTGCATTATTTGAAATTGCTCATTGAATGGCCTTTCCCCATATACCGTAGGTACAGTACCAAAATATTCCCCTCCTTCCATCAGAGTTTTTCCTATCTTTATTTCACTTCCAGCCCATCTATAAGACATCCTTAAACCACCTTAGTTGTATTGGTGCTATAATAGTAGTCTTACCTTGCTTGAGTAACTGGCCAGGTTCAGGATGCATCAGATCTGATCTGCTTTGGTCCTGTTGGCAGCACAATCAGGTAATTGATGGAGAACAAGATCCATTGGCTACTTCATGCTGGGGCAGATAGGTCCTTTTCCCTCTAGGGTTAAATTGACTTGCAGAGAAGGTGGTGTTCTAGGAATGTTCTACAGGACAGGCATTTCTCTTTCAACACACACTTGAAGGTATTCCAGGCTTTGATTTCTGATATTCCATAATAAACTCCGCAAGTATTGGAAATTAACTAGAAGGCTTCATACTTAGCAACCTGGCACTGTATCTTTCTGTCAGTTTGAGCCTTTTATTCCCAGCAATATATTAAGCTGTCATTTCAGCTGTGATGCAGAAGATTCTTCAAGACTTTGGGCAGTTCCAAAAGCCGCCTATCTAATTCTAACCAGAGTAGAAACCAAGATCATAATGGTTATAGCAAGCAAAGTAAATGGAACATTGGTAGATGTATTTGGTCTCTAAGAGTTTGCTTTTGCTTACGCTATTAGTAGTGAAGCAGAAAATAATTGTTAAGCGATATGACTTGTATTCATTGTTTTCCATTTAGGTAGCTATACCAGGTAAATAGATAAATCGTAGATTTTCTTTCATTTGCATATTTCTCTGTAGGTGATTAAACGAATGATAAAATGCTGTTCTCTCCTCAATTGCCATACACAGGTAAGAATATGTATCCATCTCTTAACTGGGAAAATTGTGAAGAGGGAAATATTACCACCACCACCACCCCAAAAAAAGCCTGTACTGCATTCATCTGGAATGCAGTGTTAAGTTTATTGTATAATCGTGACATAATAACCTCATGACAAGTTATATATTAGCAAATCATTATTTTTCCAGGTGGCAATTTTGTGCCAGTTCCTTCGAGAGGTAGATTATAAAACTGCTTTTAAAGCACTTCAGGAGCAAAACAGGTAAACAAGATTTTTACAGTTTCATTTGCTATATTAAATATACATTAATGGCATAAAAATAACTGAAACCCTGTTTTTCAGCCATGATGCTATGGATTCTTATTATGACTATATATGGGATATTACTATCTTGGAATACTTGACATGTATCCTTTTATTTTAAAAAGCTACATGGGATTGATTTGCAACCAGAATGGCTTTAGTAATTGCATTTATGAGAAGTGTAGCAGGGAGATAGCATAAAACAAGGAAATCCTTTCTCTATTTAAAAATAGCTACATTTTAAAAGATTAGGACCTTGACGCTCATTTTGCCAGCCAGAGGAAGAATTAGGCTCACAGAAAATACAAGGAAACTGTTTCTAATAACAAATTGAGGGGGAAGTTTAGAATTTTAAACTGCTATACAAACAGTTAAGAATTTAGATGACTCTTTGCTGGAGTTTCCTAAACGGTGTTTCAGATCTTCATCACAAGCGAGGCGAAACAGACAAGAAGCAGATAGCAGTAAGTTCTTGCAGTTTCATATATTGAAACTAATTTCTAAGAAGATATCGCAGTGGTCTGCGTGGGAAACCATTACATTTAAAAAATAACCCCACCCCACCCGCCCATTGAAAAATTACTTACTAACCTGAGTTTTTTGTTGATGTTTGGATACATAGATTAAAGCTATTGGGCAGACGGAACTGAATTCTAGCAACCCAGAAGAAGTACTACAGCTTGCTGCTCAAAGACGAAAGAAGAAGTTTCTTCAAGCAATGGCAAAGCTTTACTTTTAGAAACTTATTTTCCTTTGCAATATAAGAAGAAAAGTGTCCATTGCAAGATATTTCAACACTTTATTTAACATGAAATTTTTTTATAATACATATTTATAAACATACTGTGTGGTATTGTCCTATTTATAAAACATAAAATCCCTCATTTTTGCACCTATACAGAATTAGATTAGCTGTGTATTGCATGTGAAAAAATAGATGTAAGTTGTAACGAAAAATGGCCTACTATTCAGAGTGTAGCTCTCCTTTGCATCCAAGCTGTCCTTTCTGCAATCCAGTCTTTGTTTCTCTTGCATTGTAGACAGCTGTTTTATAGAATATATAGTAGCACTTCATGAGGAAAGAGGTAGGATACGACAGCTGTTCACTGAAGATGTTCCAGTTTAAGTGGAAAATTCTTAAACTGCTTCTTTACCTCTAAAAGTAAAGTTTTTCAGTCTTTGCATTCCCTACTTACATTAAGGCAATTTGTTATCATTCCTTAGTTACACTAATAAGTGTTTGGCAGTAGGAACATTGCTTAGTAACCTTAGGTTAAAAAGGTTAATATAAAGGCTTTTACTTTGTGGCTGCACTGATGTGCAAGCTGAAAAGTGACTCACTTTGTAGTCCTTTCATTCAGACTGCCTCACTCAATGTTTTATCACCACAGGTCAGAATAATATTTTATCCTATGCAAAACCAGCATACACCAATAAACAATTGGCAAAAAAGGACTATTAAATTCACAAATAACTAAATTTGACAAATTCATTTGCATCTGTTAAAAAAATTAAAAGTTGCTTAAGAAAGTTTTTAAGTTAAAAATCCATAGTTAATTATGAATTTTGTTAATCAGAAGAAATCCATTTCTCTAGGCCTCATTGGGCTTCAAATGTAAAAGATCCAGGCCAGCTGCATGAGAAACGTCCTTCGGTTGCATCTTGATAGTCTTGTCAGCCACATCAAGTGTAACAACTGTGTGTATATTCAGTCTTAACAAAGATCCCAGTCTTCACACATATAGCATTTTCACTTTTCAGAGCTCTTTGGAGGAGTTATTATTCCTCCCGTAGATATCGGTGATAGCTGATTGGGTACTGCTACTTCATAGTTAATTTCATCCTATCCAATAAAAAGAACAAATTGTTGTGATGAAAAAGAAACTACTTTATTGTTAGTTTCATTCTGTCCAGTAAAAATAACAAAATTATTATTGTGATGAAAGGAGGAACAAATCTTCCTAGCCACAATGTGTCATCCCTTTGGAAAGGTGAAATAATCACTCTGCAAGGTATGTTGGGCCAAAAGGGAGTGGATGGTCCAAAGTCACTGAGAGCTCCTGGGGTTGAGCATGGACTTTAATCTGAGTCTCATTGGATCTTGACCAACACTTTCACCACACCACACTGGCTTTCACATATCTCAAAGGGTTATTATAAGCTTCCTGTTGATAATTCCTTGCAAGAATAATTTCAGATCATGGTAGTCAAATTTACTAAGTCATCATTTAGGTATTAAGCAGATAGTTTAGAATCCATAATGCTATCCAAATTGTTGCATGCTTTGTCAGCAGCTGGAAGTCTCTACAGATGATAGTGTGGTCTTAACTTTTCCTTCTGACAACCCTTTTGTTCATGACTAGTTCAACTACTGTTCTTTAGATTCCAGGTACTCCTCACCCAAATGTTCTAGGCCTTGTCCAGACCATGATAGATGGAACTATGATTTTTGTCATTTTTGAACCATTGGAAAATGCATACTATTACAAATAATTATAGTAGGTAGGAAAGATATAAAGAAGCATTCTTCTAATTCCAAGAAAGTATAATCACATTGGAAGGCCAAACACATTTAAAGAGAGAAAATTCATTCATACCAACATATCCAAATAGTTTGTATGGGTTTGTATGTTATGTCTATCTTCCACCGCAATCTTCTTGAAATTTTTCAATTTCACTGGTATTTTTTTTGCTACTTTGAAAAATGGCTCCATCCACTCTACACATACTGCAATATTAGCCCAATCCAATCCTAAAAACAAAAAGTGAAACAATTTACTGTAGCTACCTGAAATATTGACATCAGTGATAAACTAATGTCTCAAAGCCTCCATATTTTTTACTTCTGTTAACTTGAAAGGCTGGAAGAAGCTTTTGCATTGCTCTTACACAGAGGCCTCTTACAGTCACTATAAGTGCAGGACAATGTTGCTTCAGAGTCTTCTTTTAGCAATCTCTAGCACCCACCAATATCTGGCCTTTTAACACACTCAAACGTCACTTCACTGTATTGCAAGCAAAGTGGGGGGAGCAGCATGGAGCGCTCAGCTATCATTGAAATGAAGTGCCCTTTGAAGAGCTGAATAATTCTTTTATATACACTGTATTTGTGGGTATATATTATAACAGGAAGTAAGTCATTGGAATGGAAATAAGATTGGAAATTAACATTTATATAGTCTTGACAACTTAAGACAATAGAATAAAACACTTCTTATTCTATGGCAGTCATGTTTACTTGGGACTAATCACTGTTGGATTTTAACGTGAATTATATTATTCATAGGAACAGACCCATCTAATGAATAGTAAAAAGATTTCCACCAAAATGGCACAACTGAGAAAAGCACTACACAAGAGAACTATTTGCAAAGGTCTTAAAAAGTCCAAATAAAAGGGCAAAAATTTTCTCATGAGAACTGAATATAACTGCAAACATTGTGAATCAAACTTTAAAAAAATGAAGGGGAAGGAGGAGAATGCAGAAAGAAATATGGCTATTTTCTCTTAACACTCTAAATTATTGCATATCGATGAGGAGAGCAAGTAGACTATCCAAGAGCATAACGGAAAAACAGTGGAAAATAGCTATACAGCCATATTTTCCCTAATTCTTTACATTGTTTTCTCCATTAAGTGTTCAAGACAAAAAAGAAAAAAAAAAAGCAACGGAAGAACATATTTTTTTTAAAAAAGAATCTCATTGGATGAAATTTCCCAATTCATACTGAGACAATATTTTTTAATCATGCCTAAGACAGAAATGAAAATTGACCATGGAAATTATAGAAGAAATCTATTACTTTAATGTGTGGCTGAAAAAGAAGGAAATTAAGGAAAAAAAGGATGGATGAGGCACGGCCCAGGAAGCAGGAAGTCTCAGGATGAACATTTAGATGCCATTTCTCTAGAACAGTGGTTCCCAAACTTGTGGACTTCAACTCCCAGAATTCTTCAGAATCTTCAGAGTTGAAGTCCACAAGTCTTAAAGTTGCCAAGTTTGGGAACCACTGCTCTAGAAGATCTACCTGCTCACTCGTCAATTAACTGAGAAAACACATAGAGAGAGATAGGGTGGGGAGATACTATAATTCATCACTTTTATGATCATGCCATGAATATGCCAAATTCATTAAAAATTGTGTCCTTCAATGTCTTATGACACTTGCAGACTCACATTAATTTCCTAAAACAAAAATAAAAATACACAATTATTCATAGTTTACCATACCTGAAGCCTTCTTTACTACTAGTTCTGAGGTATGATAGCAGAGGGCAGCAGCTGCTAATATCCTATACTGGAAATCCAGAGAATTGACATCTAGAATACAGAGATCTAAAAGCTGTGGAATGACATACATATCATTAGAAAGAACTTTTACATCAATTGGTGCTCAATATAAACTCAGTATAAAAATCTATAAAATCTTTTCCACAATTTTTGTATTAGAAAAACTCTGATTTACTGGCTCATTAAATCTGCATCTGACTCACATCTATATTTGTGCTGTGGGTTTGCCTCCCAATCAGTGCTAATTTCTCATGCAAAGCTGATGGTAATTGCCTTTTTATACACTGAAGCTAAGCACCAGACAGTAGCTCATTATGGCTCACAACTTTCATACTTCAAAGCCCAGTCAAGTGGCTGTTTTGCTTTCCCGCCTACAGTAGTCTGCAATTTGGTTGGAGGCTTAGATGGATAGGGAATAATTCACTTTTACTACAAAGTCAAGAACATTTATATATCTGAAGCAAATCAAACAAAAATCTACCTGTAAATACTTTATATAATTGTAAATTACAATTATAGCTAGTTTAATACATGGAGGTTAACAGGTAATGCTATCTTCCTTTGTCCCATTCCAAAGAAAGCTAAAAGTGGATTTTATTTTTTTTGCATCTGCACAAGAATTCAATAAGCTATGCATTTTTTTAAAAAATCTTTTTTTACAACTGCTGGCTGCTGTAAAGTCTCTTTAGAATATAGTTTTAAGAAAAATTAGGCCTCTAAAATAATCCCAAAGTACGAAACATTTCTTATCTCCAGAGAACAATGCATCAGAGATCATACAATGAAGGAGACATGAAATTTAGAAAAGAAGCGTGGATAGAGCATAAAGCAGATTGCAGATTATGGCTTCCTGTCCTACATTCCTAATGCTATCTAGTATGACAAGTTTTATTGTCAGCAATATCAGTTCTTCTCCCAGCTTTACATGCCACACATGCTGAAACAGAAACCTACCTGTGCTATTTCAATAAATTTGTCCTGAGAATATTGAGGTAGCAGCACTTTGGGAGCATCCTTCACTGCATCCACTTGAAGATAAAGGTTCAGCCAGGAGATTATCGTCACTGGGCACAACTCCCACTTAAGAGCCTACAAATATTAAAACGTAATGTTTATAGGGCTGTCTATTGCAGTGGTTTAGCTTTCAAATTGTGTGATATCCACAACAAATATTGTCTAAGTAAATAAGCTTTCATTATTTTAGTCTCACAAACAGCAAAAGAGGTAGCATTCTTTACTATGTCATTGATAAATAAGTTCTTATTTTCATATTTGACAGCATACTAATTTTTCAATGTGTTATGTTAGTGGAAGGGATGACCTTTCAAATCAAAGCATTTTGCATAGGCCAATTGTACAATCTGAAATTCTAGATCTACACGAGACCTCCAAAGTCTCTAGATTCCACCTGAAATTTACCAGATTTGTAATTGAATATGACACCATGGGAAAATTATTAAATATATGAGGATTTAACTATGTTAATTGCTGTAAATGTATGTTCAGTTAAAGAACACAATCAAGTTTGGCTCATTGATTTGTTTGTCCTAACCTCAGCTACACTTAGAACCATGACAATTTGAGTAGAATTCTATCAAAAGCTAAGGACATCTTTCAGCCTGATTTTAAAAAAGTAATTTCTGTCAAGTCCTACAGCATTCTGGAAATAATCCACTGAAGATATCCCATTCTGAACAAGCCAAACAAAATGTTCTGTGATAAGGCTAATGTGAATAACCTCAAAAGCAAAAGTTCCAGCTTCATATACTCACTATAATATAGCTATGTCTAGAATCAGACCACTAGCATGAGCAATCCCTAGCCCTAATTCTTCTTTATCTCAATAAGACAGTTAAATGTTCTTTCATTAACTATTACGCTGGAAAAAAATAACTGTGCTTAAAATAACTCACTTTTCCTTTAAAGAGGATGTTTCCCAGCTGATTAGTAATATACAACTTTAAGGCAAGAATTAAGACATAGTGTTTATAAAGCAGTCTTTAGAAGCAGTTTAGATAAGAGATTGGTAAATTAATTCCTAGTATATTAGTTCCAGAAAGAAGAGCTCAATTTATTAGCATCCCAGTTTTGTTACCTTTAGTATAATTAGTTCCATCCTTATAATGTCATCTTCACTGCAAGCACCATCAGTAACATAGGCAAACTCCTGCAGTTTAGGAGCATATATCTCCTTTGAAAAAGAAGAAACTGTGTTAAAACAGACTTTGCAGAACTGATGATCACCGTTTTCTATATCCCTATGCAATATAAATACATATTTTAGGTTAAAGCTTGGAAGGTCAATTATTGTGTTTTTTTTAAATTTCCCATAGGAAACATAATTGGCTACATGGATACAATCTATTGCATAAAATAGCATTGCTCCTATGCAATCCCAGCTACATCAAGAATCCACCGGTAATTCTCCTGTCTCTTGTTCAAAACTGCTCTAACTTTGCAAAATAAAACTCAATCTACAACAATTGGCCATGCTAGGATTTCTATTCCTAAACTGCATCAGCTTTCCAAATCTCTAGAAAATCTGAGTTATTTAACCTAAATGAGTTTCCATATACTAAGTAAAATGAGATGGCAATGCTTCACAAGCATTATCTTCCCAAATATATTTTTTTAAAGGAATTAACAGGACATCTTAAAAGGCAATTTAAATTGGGATTTCTTCTCATTTTCATCTCCATAACAATGACTTAGTGAAGAAGACTGCCAAAGAGCGGAAGGCGGACCCCAAATTATTTTTTGAGTTTTCATGGGTGAAAGTAGATGGGAAAGAGAATCTCCTCAATTCTGCCCCAATACTCTAGTATAACCAAGTAGCTGTAGAAATGTATTGCATGTCTCTACTTACCTCAAGCTTGGAAGCAATGAACAGGGTTGTAATTCCTATAAGTTGAAGCATGGTTTTATTTATGTCCTTCTGAGTCAACATGAATCTATCAAAAAAGTCTTGGGCCAAATAGAAGGTTTCCCTATGAAGTGTGTATACTTCACAAACCTGTAATGAAATGCATAGCAAACAATAATTTGAATAGTTGGTGAAAAATTCATTTTAATATTACATGCCCTTAATTTTAAATAAAAATTAATAAGGTGGAAAAATATTTTTGCTTGATTTTGTTCTAATAATTATTCACTTGCAAAGTAAGCATACCTGGGGTTGGAAACATACTATAAGTGTTCCATGTTGTCATTACAGTGCCTTTTCTGTTGCCGTGGTGTGGTGTGGTGTGGTGTGATGTGGTGGTGGTGGTATGCGTGTGTGTATGTAAGTAAAGCATGAAATCCTATATATGCAGGTTTGATTCCTCAATCACATAATGGCTTCTGTTATATGAAACATTTAAAGTTGCAAGCTTGCATGTATTCCTTTATAGATGACCTGCTGATGCATCTAGTTTAAGGAGACAAGTTAAGCAAACAGGTGGGTGGAGTTCGTAAAACACCTTTTTTTCCTTGTTACTTCATTGAACAAGGCTAATGTGTTTTAGATTTGATCGTAAAATCCACCTTTCTCTTTTAAAATTATTTACTGAAGTTCTAGAAGTAATGTTAAATCCTTAATTTAAAACTGGTGCTTTAACTTAGCAAGGAAAATATACATTGTTAAAAATAAACAAATTAAATGCTTAAGATTCTTGGACACTACGCTATTCCCTCAGTGTTGCTTTACAATTTTATTTCAATACTTACCTCTAGAAGCCAATCCAGCAGGACCGATCTCATATGTGGCTGTAGATTTGAGTGTAGCGACGTGAAATGCTTGCAGTGAGAATATTTGTTTTCTTTTTTGAGAATGTTGAACCAAATATCTCTAGAACTTCCCCAACTAAAATCAAGATAAATAATAAAATTTGACGTTTGAGAATTTATGTTCCTAGATTCTACTGTCTGCTTAAAAATAGGATGTTTATTACACAGCAACTATACTGAAGTGAGTTCCACATTTTAAAAACCAGTTAGCTGTTTTATTTACACCTGAAGCCTCAGCACAAAAACATTCTCATGTTGGTCAGTTTTAACAACAAAACAGATTACTTTATGACAATTTCATACTTTAGAAGAGGTCACAAGAAGAGACGTTTTATTTGTTATATACGAGCTCAGAGCTCCCATTTTCCCTCTCAAAATGGGGATGGGGGAAATGGTAACACAACCATATTAAGAAAATGCAGCTGTTATTTTCAAGTGTTGTTCCTGGAATGAAAGATCTTCAAGTGACTACAATCAGGTAATTTTCTCCTGGCAAATAGTCAATTGCATTCCAAGGTGCATTTGTCCATCAAGATTTGAGATTTTAGCATTACCTCTGAAAACACGTAGAAGACTTAGACTAACACCAAAACATTTGAAACAGTTGCACTGGTGAATTCTTTCTTATGTTCCATATATCACTGGAACGAAGTTAAGTGTGACTCTTTTGTATACCCTCCTTAACAATAGTTAGGTATGGAACATGTTCTGTCTCCCCAACTCTGCATAGAACTATGGGTGCTAGGCAAAGCACTGCTGCTTCTAAGCATGATTTATCAATCTCTTGAAATTGTTAGGCACATTATCCAAATGGAGGATGACATTACTTCAAGCCTATTTAAGGAAACTACTGTATCTAAGTAACGTATGTTATATGTCTTTCTTTTAGACAGCACAATTAATGCTTAGGTACAGTTCAGTGACGTACAGTGAAGCTTATGGCTGGTGAGGCAAAAAGAAAGCGGCTTCCCCCACCCCCCGCAGCAGCTATGTCCGAAATAGAGGCGTCCTGCGCCCCGCAGCTATGTCCGACCCAGCTGCGGGGCAGCTCTATGTCAGACAGAAGCGGTGGGGCGCTTTCTTTCGGCTTTTGCCTGCCCCGCAGGGCAAACACTTCCACCTTGCAGGCGCTGGAGCCGCAGGCCACCAGGAGTACGTCCCTCCCGCAGCAGAAGAGCGCCAGTTCCTGCCCAGACTGGAGCGAGAGCCGCGGAGGCAAAAGGCGAAGAGGGGTGGGATGTTCCCAAGAGGCCCCCTCCCCTTTTGGCACTCCCCAAGCCAGGCCCGCAGCAGCAAGAGGCTCAGCCCCAAGTGGCCAGCCTTTCGCCTCCACGGCTCTCGCTCCAGCCTTGTCTGGGCTCCTCCGCAGCAGGCCTGCCGGAGCTCTGGAAGAAAGTGGCAGGAGCCGAGGCTGGCCACTCGGGGCTTGGAAGGGGGAGCGGAATGTGGGTCCTCCGCAGCTCTCGCTCCAGCCTGGGCAGGAACTGGCGCTCTTCTGCTGCGGGTGGGACGTACTCCTGGTGGCCTGCGGCTCCGGCGCCTGCAAGTGGAAGTGTTTGCCCTGCGGGGCAGGCAAAAGCCGAAAGAAAGTGCCCCACCGCTTCTGTCTGACATAGAGGCGCCCCGCAGCTGGGTCGGACATAGCTGCGGGGCGCAGGACGCCTCTATTTCAGACATAGCTGCTGCGGAGGGGGTGCAAAGGCCACTTTCTTTCTTTTTGCCTCACCAGCCATAAGCTTCACTGCCCGTCACTGTACTAACTGCGGCGCACATAATTTTT